TTTGAGCCAGCCCTACCCCCAAGGGCTGTAGGGTGGGGCTCAAAGGAGTCAGTGTGCTAAAATTTCTTCATTTTCCTTGTTTAGAATCAGAGGTGCTAGTTTCAAATACTTTTTAGTCTGAAATCTGTATGCTAGATATTGAATAAGGTGGTTTTATTGTTTTTTGTCACTTTGAATAATATTTCTGTTCATGTTAAAAACAAAATCAACTCTCTGTATAAATATATCAGGTGACCCATGGGCCTCTTGTTAAGTATGCGGAAACAGTTGCTTATTAAACACTTAATTGATTAATACCTAAATTTGATTGAACTACATCGATTTGAAATGGGTAGTACTATAATTGGTTATTTGGTTCGAGCTCGGCACGTTACCTGGGACAGTACCCCCTGTTCCCCTAGCCAAACATGAAGTTTATTGTGTAACGATTACTTAGTTGAAGAAATTATGCAATTATGTTGAAAAAAGAAATGTTTTTAAGCCCGGGCGGTCCCGATATTAAATAACACGCGCAATTTGAGCTTGATATAATAGCGTAACGGCATAACTCTGCCAATAAATATGTCTTCAAAAATTTTCCGATTTGGTCAATAAACAACTGAAGAGTTTTAGTTAAGCTAATGATACTGGTGAAGGCCTGGGCGAATCCGGTGTTACATGTAGATAATGAATAGTTGAGAAGTAACTAATTTCAAAATAATATAACTATGCCAATAATTGACACATTTTCCTATTTTTACACTAGTGTTTTAAATATATACATCATCAACTAAACGATCTTAAAGTTTTGGTTTGGCTAACAATAAAGATGAAAGCCTGGGCGATCCTGATATTACAAATAGCATATGTGATTTCAGCTAATGTATAGCGTATAGCGTACCAATGTACACAAAAAACGAATTGTTATATGCAGAAATTGGGTGGCTACCATTGTCAAAACGAAGAGAAATCAGAAAACTGTCCCTCCTTTATACTATAAAACATGGCACTGCACCCTCATACTTATGTAATATCCTACCTCAAAATATTGGAGATCTGACTCATTATAATTTAAGAAATTCTCAGCAATTGCGGGAGCAACGGTATAGACTCCAAACTATGCGCAACTCTTTCTTTCCTTCAACTGTTGATCTTTGGAATAATTTAGACACAACCATAAGACACTCCCAAACTCTGAACTCGTTCAAATTAAATATACATAAGTTGAATAATGTAATAACTAAATGTAATCCATGCTTTCTCAATTTTGGTCCGCGTAGGCTAANTTCAGCACAATGTGAATGTGGACACACGTGCGAGGACTCGTATCACTTCTTCTTCACATGCCCTAAATACCACATCCGACGCCTTTCCTTATTGCAGAATTTAGCATGGTATCCAGGAGATATGTCATTAGACCTAATTCTAAAGGGTGATATAGATTTAAATAATGAGGCAAACTCAAACATTGCAAGAATGGTGCAAGTCTATATCGACGGTACTGGCAGGTTTTGACATTTTGAGCACTCCCCCACCCCCCCTCTTATTTTATTCGTTTCTAATATCCTTTATACTTTGTGAAATAAATATAATATAATATAGTATGAATATCAATGTTAATATGTTTACATAATTTTGAATAATTGTGTATCTGATCTGGCTGGTATGGAGGAAGGGCTTTGAGAACACGGAACGGTTACGAGTGGATCTACAGAATACAGCTTTATGGAATGTGATGGACACAGTTTATGAAAGTGTTGATTGATGTTTTTCCAGCCAGTCAGATTACTGTTAACCAAATATTGTTTTAAACATTTACATGGGTTTGTATATTATATATATATTTAGGGGATGATCCTACCTATCTTTTACCCTTCTTCTTCTTGCTTTCCTTCCCTCGCTGTTTCTACTATATAATCGGATAAAGTTAATTCACTGCTGTCCATTATGTATTATACAACATGATGTATTAAGGAGAGGGCGTTACTAAGTTGGCAAAACTTGTGCTCAATCCTAATTGTCCTTATTTACGACAATACAAATATGTTTAAACTATAGCGTATGGTTCAGGAATATATACAATTTCAAAACACCATAACTCCGCCAATAATTTACATATTCTAACAAGTATTTCATCATTGTGTTATTTACACTCACATCTTCACAAAGAAATAGTTTTAATTGACCTAACGATAAAGATGAAAGCCCGGGCGGTCCCGATGCTGCAAATAACACGCGTGATATAAGCTTTAGCGTAATGTAGCGAAGTATCTAAAGTTAGACCAGCAAAAATCTGTTTATGATGAAGATATGTTTACACCATCTTCTATGTTTTATTTCTTATTCATTAATTAACCGGAGTAAAGTACTGTACTTTGATTAAATCAACTTTACAGAGTAATGCCCGGGCAGTCCTAATATTGCAAATAACAAGTTCTGCAGTACTGGTTAACTTCAAATTACAATAACTTGGCTAATTATGAACAAATTTGATATTTTCTTCTGTTTTGTATTTTTCGTTCCTAAAGCTATAAGCTATCAGAATAACTTGTTTTAGTCCAGTTAACTACACAGGTGAAAGACCGGGCAGTGTTTGTATCGCAAATACCAAACGTTGGGTCTTCTAGCTCTCCAGCGGGCTGTTGCGATGTTACTAATAGTCATAACTCGCTCAAATTTAATATTCATCATTTCTTGATCATTATATTTATGTTGTTACAAACAATGCAACATATACAGTTGTAGTTGTGTATAAGTGGAGACAAACGCCCAGACGGTCAATATATCACTACCGGGCTGTACCGGGCTGTACCGGGCTCTACTGAGCTGTAATTAGTAGCACCGCCTATACACTTCCTGTTTTGGAGATCGGTCCAAGGTGTAAACGAGTGTCCTGTCGAAAGAAGTCCAGTCTGCCCTTTCCGTGTCGATATTGGAAGTTCACAGGGTGAGTGTAAGGAACTAAGGTGGTTTAGTTACGTACACATCTGTAAATTACACAAAACATGTTTGGTTATATCTGTATATTACAGATTTATATGTACTACACGGTCGACAAACCTTCGCTATACTAGGTATACACACAAACCGAAAGTTGGTATAACTTCTGTAATGTATAACATGTTTAAACGGAACTATATCTTTGTGTTTGTAGTGTTGGTAGGTTTATATCGTGAAGTACGTATGTATCATGCGGTGATTGTCAATCGTAATCCGCCACTTCCAATAATCCCCGGGTACAATCGGTCAGAGGATTTACAGTAACGTGCAGGAACGTGCAGAAACGGGCAGAACAAAAATATATTTAAGATAATACAATCAGACCATTTTTTCATGCGATTATTACCGATAATTGCCTCCTCTTGATCTGTGCTACTTTTAACGGACTTCATCACTAAGAATCAAATTTAAATCAATGAGTTAGTGTTGATTGAAATGTGGCACGGTCATTGAAATCACACACATGGAAGTGTGTGACTATACATGTAAATATATATATATATATAATACATCGACATACTAGATTGTCAGAGACGATCGACAGGAAATCCAAACTGTATCGTTGTAATGATAGACCATAGGAGAAGTCGGGCGGAGACATTGTTTAAAGCGGGAGGGTTTAGAGGGGGAACACACATACTGAACCTACACGCATGGAACTATTGTATATCATATAATGAATGTGTAACGAAACGTACAAACAACAACATGATCATCTTAATTGACAAATCTGTTTCTTTCTAAGTCGGGTGGTGAAATAGTAGCACGATGTCGGGTGGTGAAATAGTAGCACGATGTCGGGTGGTGAAATAGTACCACGATGTCGGGTGGTGAAATAGTACCACGATGTCAGGTAGTGAAATAGTACCACGATGTCGGGTGGTGAAATAGTAGCACGATGTCGGTGGTGAAATAGTACCACGATGTCGGGTGGTGAAATAGTACCACGATGTCGGGTGGTGATTTTTTTATTTTTTTTTAATTTTTTTTATTCAATTTTTATTTTTTATAAACCACACATTTACACACAAAGCAACAAGCATACATTACATTGATTACAATTCCCTTCACAACGGACACCACTTTACAAGAGACCAATTATATAATGTACAAACATACACATACACACTCACAGGGGGGGGGGGGGGTTGCTAACTTTTCTTTATAGTATAATGATAATTGTTCATTATTTATAAGAGAAGCCATTTTTCTACTTTATTAAGCAAGACTATATTATTTTTGCAGTTTTTATGCTTAATTATCAAGATCTTATGAGATTTAAGTTAAAAAAGAATGTGATTCTTTAAACTTGTTATATTAAGTTCCATTTCTAGGCATTTCATTTTAAAAATGTATTGTTTAATCAATAATAGGATAAGATTATCCACTATCAAATCAGCATCCTTTGAACTGAATTGTCCAAATATAAGTTCCTGTTTGTCAAAATTCAAATCAATATTACTGGTTGCAAGCAATTGTTTTTAGTTCTCTCAAAATTTCACATACTTTACCACGATCCCAAATTAGATATTCAATTGTTTCTGGAAATCTTTTACAAAAAGTACAAGTTGAATTTTGTTTTATTCCCATTTTTTGTAGGAGTGTGTTTGTAGTTAAGATTCTATGGTTAATTCGGTATTGAAGCCATCTTAATTTAGTACTATCAGTAGTTTTAAAAGGACATGCATAAATCTTTATCCATAATTTGTCCTGAATGTTAAAAACCGAAGACCATTTCCTTTGTGACGAGGGTTTTGTATCATTTCGGCATAAAACAGCATAAATATCCTGTGCCCTTTAAGTCCTCCTTTATATAATATTAAGATTTAAAGGTATATTAGCTAAAAAAGTTAAAAAATTGGACCTTATATCATATCTATGTTGAAATTCTACAAAATTATAAAAAGAACCATCTTCTTTAATGACATCATATATAAAAAGCACTCCTTTTCTATACCACTCTTTTCAGAAAACAGTCTTATTGTTTATTTGGATATTGTGATTATACCACAAAGGATTTTCACATATTTTTTCACTATATAAATTGGACGACACTATTGTTTGATACCATGCTTCTAAAACGTGTTTCCAAAATTTATTTTTACATTCTTCACACGTAATTTTTAATTTATGCATTCCACAATTAGCTAAAGAGAACTTATCCATGTAGTTTTCAGGAATGAAAGTCCAACTAGCATCTTCTTTATAGATCCTCCGTACCCACGTTACCTTTAGTGGTGTAATGAAAGACTTTAAATGAATCATTATCAAACCATTATCAAACAAGTTCGTATGACTTAATTATAACATCCCGTTTAACTTTATCAGTTTTTCCGCACCACAAAAATTTGTATAATATGTTATTTACTTTTTTTATATAAGAGTCATGTGGGTTTGGAAGAGCTATACAAAGATGATTAAATTGTGAAATTAGCAATATTTAATAATGGTTATCTTACCTATTGGAGTGAGATTTCTTCTATTCCACGAACTTATGAGAGATTTAAGTTTAACAAGTTTCTTATCAAAGTTTAATTTAACTACTCTATGTAAATCAACATCATATTCAATGCCTAGCAAATTAAAACGTGTACTTCCCGACAAAAGATTGTGCTCTGTTGTATATTTATTATTACTATATTTTTCACTGCCTATCCAGATTACCTGGGTCTTGGTGAAATTCATTTTAAGACCTGAAATTCTGGCATAATAGTTAAGTTGTTGTAGCGTTACATTTAAAGAATTTTCTAAACCGTCAAGGATAACAGGCGTATCATCAGCAAAATGCGATAAAATAATGTCTTTGTTATTTACAACAATACCGCTGATATCAGAATTATTTCTTAATAGAATCGATAAAATTTCAGCACATATAAGATAAAAATATATGAAGAAACGGGTTCCCCCTGACGGCATCCACGCTCGATAGTGAAAAAATTGGATAGGTTCCCTCCTATGTTAACTGCAGAGCGTATATTTTTTTGAAAAAGGTTGATCCAGTTAATAAGTGATGGTTCAAAATTGAAGAAATTTAAGGTTTTTGTAATAAAATTCCAAGACACATTTCAAAATCAATTAATAATAGAAGACCAGGTATGTCATTTTCTTCAGTATAATGCATTAAATCATAAATTAAACGTGTATTTTTTCCAATATATCTACCTGGAATAAAACCGGCTTGACTGTTGCCAATTAATTTAGTTATTACAGTTTTGAGTCTTTCTGCTATCGTGCCGGATGCCATCTTATAAATAGTATTGAGAAGTGTGATGGAACGCCAGTTTTTTAGTTTATTACGGGGTTTGTCGCCTTTTGGGATGCATGTTATAATTCCTTGTTCTTGAGTAACTGACCGTTCTGAAACTGAATAACCAAAATTAATTGACCTGACAATGAAATGCCCAAGTTGTTTCCAAAATACTTTAAAAAATTCAACAGAGAAGCCGTCGGAACCAGGACTTTTATTATCCTTCATTTTCATTAGTGTTTTTGCCATTTCAGATATAGTTATTTGTCCTTCTAATGATAATGATTCTAGGGGAGATAATTTAGGTATATCATATGGATTAAACAAGTCCTCTAAGTTTACATCCTGTGTAGCAGTATTTCTTTTGTACAACTTTTCATAAAAAAGTTTTGTTTCATTTAGAATGTCTTTCTGTTCTAAAATCACTATACCATCATATTTTTCTATCTTTGGAATAATTTTACTGGTGAAGTTTCTAGATTCTAGTCCACAAAAGTACCTAGTTGGCTTTTCTCCTTCAATTATCCATTTTGTTCGAGAACGTGTCATATTGCCCAGTAATTTATGCTTTCTTAATTTTTCTAGTTCTCTGTTTTTTATGTCAGTATTATTTAACTCAACATTACGTGATAGTGCTCCCCTTTCTAGTTCCTGAATATCTTCAATTAACTTTTTCTCTGTATCGTTACTGGTTTTTTTTTATAGCATGAGTATGAAATAGTCTTACTTCTGATTTCTAACAGTAAAGTTTCCAAAAACAGTTTATCATTAATTACAAACATCAAGTCTTCCAAAGAAACATCTTCAATATTGTCCATATTGTAAATTGGTACTGCATACTGTTTCAATGTTCACAATTAGAGATTTAATGGTATTTAAATATTCTGAATCTTGAAGTAAAGGATTATTGAATTTCCATAACCCCCTCCCCTTTTGAAATTTGGTGAAGCTTAAACTTATAACTGACATGGAAGGGTCTGAGCGATATCCTGGCTCAATAGACGAAGCAGTTAAACTTGGGAGCAGTCCATCGGATATAAAAATGCAGTCTAATCTTGCCTGTTTACATGGATTTCTTCTACGCCAAGTGTATCTTCTTGTATCCGGGTTTAATTCTCTAAAAGTATCTATCATACCTAATTCTTGTTTAAGTCCTAAAACTTTATCTCTGGCCTTGGGGTTATTTATTTGCCGATACTTATCACTGTCTAATGTCGGATCAATAACTAAATTAAAATCCCCACATATAACAAACTGAAAATGTCCCAACTCTGTTAAAATATTTTCCACTGTTTCATAAAAATCTGGTCTGTCACTGTTAGGACCATATACAGTTATAAGTGTAAGTTTTTCACCTTCTATTTGGATGTTAAAAGCTAAAATATTCCCATTGTCATCTTTTATAGTGTTTAAAATCTTATATTCAAAGTTATTATTAAAAAGAATGGCAAGCCCTCTAGAGTTTGAATTGTAGGAATTAAAGAAGCAATCAAGACCCCAATTAGCCCGTATTAAATTTTCCTTTTCTGCTGTAAAATGTGTATCCTGAAGACAAAAAAATATTATAATTTTTATTTCTCAAGTATGCATCACCAAGACCCTGGCAATATGTGTTATCGCGACCATCCACGAGTTACTCCCCTTCGAAGAGTTCTTGCTGGAAAATGCACAGGTCTCGCGAGAGAATGCGAGGATACGGGGGCAAAACAATCTGCCATGTGTAAACAATATGCCCCACCTTCACTGTATTGAACCAACAAAAATAACTCACAAGAATAGAGGTCACATCAAATGCATTTAGTGATGACATTCCAATCAAATTGTTTGTCCAAAACAAGCCTTCTGACGTTTCTTTTACATAAAGGTAACACACGATACTCTGTACGCCGCTGACGGTCCGTCACAACTGTGACGCTTTAGCTTCGTCCTCTTTTTCAATATCTGGCCAATTTAACATGTCTGCTTGCTATCATAGGTGTACTAGCTCCCCATTTTTCTTATTTGAAGTAGGTGATACCTTACATGGAAGTTCGTGGAAATTCGTATCTGAATGTTTTGTCCGTTGCCCCAGCGAGTACAGTTTAATCCCCTCCTATTTGAAGAGTTCCACTGGTCGCGATATCATCTATTGGCAG